AATTAAAATGTTTTCCTTCAATAAATTGGCATCTATTCCAGTTTGAAATGAATTTATCTCGTTTTTAAATTTTTATTCATTGACTCGACTGACTTTTAAATGATAAAGTTTGAAGCGTGATATAAAAAAGTTTCAGAATTGTCGAGAAATTTATTTTTTTCTTTGAATGATTTACTTTTATTAAAGTTGATTAAAGTAATGTGACTGAGAGTAGTGCTCATGTGTTTGACTTACTAATTGATAGCCAACAACTAGTTTTTCATAATAAACAGTCAATTCTAATATTGCATATGGCTGGCTGTGAGGGACACTTAAACTTTAGGTACCACATCAACCATATGCCCCCCCCCCCTCCCTCCTAATCCCTCAATCTTCTCAAAATTAACTTTAACAATTCTGATAAAATTAGCAATTTTCGCTAGCATCTTATTCAGAACATTTAAAGTTTCAAGAATAGTTCATGATAATTTAAGCATAAAGTATTTCTAAACTCCCGCATTATCACGAAAAAGCATACATTATTAATGTTTCCAAACCCTCAACCATCCTACACATTAACATCTCATATTCAATGTCATAAAGCTTATGTGTCCAAAATCAACATCAACTCGAAAAGTCATTCAATCAGTCTGACATTGCAGCTGGAGCCTTTGAGACTGTTTGACAAAAAATTTCTTTTTGTTCATTTCCAATGATGATAAGTGGCCAATTAGCTAAATTCATATGTCACGAACATTAAGTTTCTTCGGCCTAATGAAGACCGTGACCTCTAAAAAAACTGCGCATGTTCTGGATGAGCACAAAAAAAATTGTTGTAAACAGTAAAGAAGAACTTTTTTTTTTGTAAATTTTTATTTCTGGATCACTTGTGGATGAAGTGTGAAGTTCAACACAGAAGTAAAAATAATATTGTGATGTAATTGTGGTTGTTACAATTTTTTTCTTTATTTTTTTATCATTAATTAGCTCCAGTTTACCAACAAGCTCAAGTGCTCCTACCTAATTAGATTGTTTGTTTGGTTCGTGTGTAAATATTTGTGATGTATTTAATAAATATTTAATTTTCAATCCAAATACTGTTGGAAATCCATAGACTAGTCTTTTTTTAACTGTATATGCATATTAAGCTTCATAATATCGGAAATGGTAGCAGCACACACAAAAATAAAAATTATTATTATTACTGCTGTGTGGCCTTCACTTGCTTAAAGTTTCTTTCTTCCATGAGCTTCCAAATGTTCTGACTTTAATGAAAAAAATAGACTGCATTGTTGCATAACGCATTTATGCTGTAAAATAATTTTAAAGTGGATGTTTTAGCCTTGTTTGAGACAGGGATAGTTTTTTGGTGAACAGATGAATCAGAAATTTCGAACCGTAACTGCTCCTGTTACACTAGACTCTTTCTACCTTTAAATGATAAATGTCTAAAGATTCTTGGAATAATCAAGTAGCCGTAATCAACCACCTTGCCCCAATCTATGACAGTTCATTCAAAATTTCAAAAAAAAACTATCCAAAATTGTCCTTTTGGAGTTCTCCCCTTCAAAACCTCAAACCTGAACACAACCCTATTGTGGTAATTCCAACATTTAATAAATGAACCACAAAATGTTCGTGTTTTAAAAGTTTTCTTACAAAAAAAAGTTTTTCTGGCGGAAATTCTTTAAAGTTGTTAAAGGAATGTGCAAGTCATTTGCATTTTTATGAAGCTATTGTGTTCGGAAGCTAGACAAAATTCCGTATTAGATTATTTTTCATGAATGTGTGTTTTTTTTTCTACTACGAAATTACAAGTTTTCAGTGCAATTAACATTTTAAAATGATCAGATAGTTGAAATAATTATGTTCTCACGTGGTTTTAAGTTCTAAGAAAATTGCAGGTTGTGCCTACATCTGTGAACTACATAAATAATGAATGATAAAGCAATTAGCGAAATGAATTAGAGATTCAATTTGAATAGTTCACTGATTAGAATATTATTGATTTCATGTACTGTAATTGAGATGTTATGAACATTTTTAGATTGTTTTAGAAAATAATGAAAATGTATGTCAGTAACAAACTTCATATAAGGTCAATTAGTGTATTGTTGTCTAGAATTACTTATAGACTAATAATTAAATTATCCACTGGTCAAAAACAAGTGAATAGAAGTTTTTTGAGCAGAATTTATGATGCAAAATGTGGCATGTTGTGTTGAACATTTTTCAAATATTTTTGAAGATTTCAGTCGAAGTGAAAATCACAATTTATTACAATAGTAACATCATGAGAATATCGACTTATAAATGATTAAGATGAGTACTTAGTCAGAAATTATAGAATTGATTCCTCGAAGGTTTCAAACATGAATTTCAATCTAAAGATATTACAGACCTCGAATTGCACAAGTTGGTTAATCGATCCAAAATCCGGCACAAAACTGGTGTGACTCTGGCTTGGTGCTCTATTTAATTCGAAGCTAGCACCATGCCAGAGTCATGCCGGATTTCTGTTCGATTAACCGACTTGTGCTATTTGGGTTAGCTTCATTTATGAATTCAGAAATCGCCCTCATATAGAAACCAAGGGTGTGGAACTGAAGAATTACATTTTGATCATTTTTGATCAATTTTGATCATGTTTAATTATTTTTAATCATTTCATGAGTACCACACCCTTGATAGGAACCAAACCCACGAACTTACAAAAGATGAGTTACAGATATCCAGTCTGTTGTTTAACCACTCCCCCATACTGTCAAATTCATGACTCGACAAACTTTACACATTTTGCTGAATTCGCTCAAAATTTTGCATCACTTCTGAATCTCCTGACAAGAAAAAATCTGCACATTTGCACAAAAAAAAAGTTTTTAAATAGGAAAACATGCTTCGAGCTCGTGCTGATGCATAAGTAAATTCTGATGTAACGCAAACACGATGCAGCATTTCTCGAACATTCTCTATGTGAGAAGCATAAATTTAGTAGTTTAAAGTTTTAATTGTACTTTCTGCATTTAAAAAAAATCTTTTCTAGGAATGCGTAAATTAAAGTTTAATGAATCAACAACCTTTTTTATGTGATTGAGGCTTAGTGCAAAACTCGTAAATTGATAGTCTCAAAATTAAATTTTTCATTTTCTTTTCACTTTGCTCAATCATCCAAAACAAATCAAATTTCACCGAATTTTACAATAATTAATGTTTTTTTTGTTATTTTTATCTTGTTCACAGATTTAGAGTCTATAAAAAAAACCTGAAGCTATTAATAGCTCCAACAATCAAAAATTGATTTCATCTAAATTTGTGCAATGAAACAATGGAACCTAGTTGGAATTCATCGTCGTCGTAATTCATCGGTAAGTGCTTTTGAACTTTAACAACATTTCTCTTTTTACAGAAAGGCAAATTATGCAATCTATTTAAAGACATTTTTGTTCATTCATAATTTATTTCTTCCAATGAATCTTATAAATATTTCTGCATGCTATGGAATTTTTTCATTCAAATGACTGACATTCATGAATTTTCTCTTTTTTATGCTCGTTCTATAAACTTTATTGAGTTATAAGCTACATGAATGTGCTTTTACTTTTTCCATATCGATGTGTATTCATCAGTGAGTGCAAAGGAAATTGCTTCTGTTAAGATAATTGAATTGAAATTGTTGGAAATGATATATGAGTTTTAGGGGTACTTGAGACATTGAAATTGTCGAAGGTTAAAATATTTTGGAAAGTTTGTGGTTACAGAGAAGAATATTGAGGTCGATTCTTAATAGCTGGCTTTTTGAAGAGTTTCTTGAGCTTCTCTCATCAAAACAAAGCACAGCACACTTAGTAAGGTTGAAAGAAATAAAACGGGTTGAATTTTCTAGATCTTTTTAAGGTATCCTACCGAAGGATTAGTAAAATTTAATTTATGCCAAGGATGCGGAACTGATAAATTAGATTTTGATCAATTTTGTTCATTTTGATCAGTCCAGCACTCTTGATTTATGCCTTAAATTGCATTAGGTCTTTTTTACGATTTTTAAAGAGAATACACAGGATAAAGGTCATTGCCTAGAGTAATCCTTAGTTGCAACTTCCTTTTAAAAATCCTAATTGCCAAGAATACTGCTTAAAACCGACCCAGAACCCCCTACACACCTTTGAGTTCCACCCATTCAAGAATTTTTCTTAAAACACCGTTCTACCTTGCAACTACTCTTTACACCCTTCCTCCATTCTCTGTCCTTTACCTTCCTCTGTATGCTATTTAATTCAAATTGCAAATATATGCAAACTGAAAAAAAATCTAATCAAATTTATTATTCAAATAAAAATTCAATGCCAATATGTAAGCACTAGCTTCAACTAAAATAAACAAAGTTGCAGTGTAAAAAAAAAATTTCGCAGTACAAACTTACGTCAAGATATTTTTGTCACTGGAACTTTCGACGAGAAAACAGATTTATCATTTGTCAAAAAACATTCTAGAAGCATCGGTGAGCTTGGCACATTTGTACGTCCTCCAATTTATCTCAATTTATCAATCTGAAAATGGAGCCAAAACAAACTAAAGATCCAAAAAACAAAAACTCTAGTCATGCCCGACCTGCCATATCTCTAGACAAATGTCTGTGAACTAAAATTATCAGCAATTATCAAGTAAAAGCAACGAAAACAAAATCATTTATCAACTGAAAGAAACTGAAACTTGTGCATTTCGGAAGGGACGCATTTAATGTTTTCTTGTCTCAAAACCTAACAAAGCATATCGTATGCATTTACATACACTTATGTTTATGACAAAAAAGTTGCTATTATTTGAGTACAATTCCCTCAAAAATGGATTTGCCAGAATGAACACAATGAGGCTTTGTAATCAGGTAGTTCTCTCTCTTCCTCGTTATGCCATCTAAATCTATAAATATATGTTGAATTTACCTGCGTCTTGTCAGTCACATTTTGAGTTTTGGAATTTGTGGATTGTAAAAAAAAAATATTTCTGTTACTTTATAAGAGTGAATTATGGAAATTAAAGGACTTCTTTTTTCAATCATAATATTGTGCACATTCCTAAGTGTGGGCGTGAACTGTCAAAATCAGGATTATTACGAAAGAATGCCAGTAATGCCGCCAGCGCGTCGTCAATTGCCTCCGGAACTGACTCATAATAATCACCATAATAATAGCTGGAATAGCGGATTTATGCAAACTGCAAAGAGCTTTGTTGCCAGTCCACTCGGACAATTTACAATGTCAATGGCGAAAGAAATGGTCGCACGATCTGCTGGTGGAAATGAAGTATTAAGTTTGAACATTACGAGTTTATTAATTTTGGTGATGTTGAAGGCATTAATTTTTACTACTGGATTACTTGGTGCTGGCAACTGGCAGCAGTATGGACGTGCAAGAATGTTGGAAGACGGAAGTAAATGGAATTTCTTTTTTTGTTGTTCGTTGGAATGATTTTTGAGTGGTTGGCGATGTTAAGTTATGGTCAAGTTATAGGAAGTCAATCAGCCTAGGGATTTAAACCTGAAAAGTTTACCTTATAGTAATTTTTAGATCAAACATGAATTGATCAATTTTAATTTTTTTGAGGATCCCAAACCGACTATGGAACCAAATCATCACCAATTTTACCAAAAATCATTTCAATCTAGTCTCACAACCCAAATCTTATCAGCACCAAAAATATTTCCCAAAGATCCGATAGTCGACAACGCAGAAGCACAAATATTCCTCGGATTTCTAGCAGCAGAAGGCTCAGGAGGTGCTGGATGTCTTTATCGTGCCGTGTGCATCGAGCCCGAAAAGGGAGCAGAATACTTAAAAGCTGGTCGAGCGCTTCTAACCGGATTTGCAGTCTTTGACTCGTAAAATTAAATTCCTTAACCCCAAAAAATAAGAATTCTCACTCGAGAAATTTATTCATAATTTCAGTTCCGTAACAAGCAATCCACGATACAATGAATATCTACAGAATATTCAACAAGCTGTGTACGAAGGAATGCAAAGTGCTCCATGCGATATGATTTATAGCTGCAATGTTTAAATTATGTACTCGTGTTTAGTGAATGAATTAAATGGATGAGAATTTTTGTATGATAAGTAGGAGATTTAATGACCTTGCGACTCTCAGAATTGAACTTGCTAGATGAAATTAGAGTCTTCCTTTTAGCTACAAACTTCTTCTTTTTGGATATTTTTCTTTAATGGTTGGCTTCTAGGGCTCCTTATGGCACTTGTCATAAGAACTCGAAATGGTTTGAACCTTAAAATATAGTCCATCGAGTCTTGGTTCAATTGAGTGCCAAGAGGAAGCTCAAGATTAGATTTTATAGACACAACTTTGCTCAATTTTGTGAAAGAGTCTCGTTCAGATTTTAGTAAAGCAATAAAGGACTGAATAAAGTGAATGATGATTTAGAAAGCTATAAAGTTTAATTTGACAATAATATTCTGTTTGTTGGGAAGGAGGAAATGGCTGATTCAGTAGAATTTTTATGAACTTCCATGATCCTCCTCAAGAGCTTCGTTTTTCAGCAACTCAGCTGCTCTACACAATTCATAAAGGTACATGAAATCTTATCAGTTTTAATTGCTTGTGTAGGAATTTTTCTATATACAGTCACTAGATAAGGTAAAATAGTCGTTGATGATGGATGCTTTACGTGAATTAAGTGACGAGGAATTGAAATATATTAAAATCAAATTAAAAGAAAACTTTCCAAGATCTATCAAAAATTTACATTACATCTATTCTGCAGAGAAATGTAAAGCAGAATCAAGAAAGTATGAAAAGTTATCAGATAAAGTATTGCCAAAGTTTTATACTTATAGATATGGATTGAAGGAAAATTGTACAATTTTTGGATTAACTGGCGATGAAAATCATACAGTTTGGTATTTTACATTTGATGATTCATTGAATGAGATAAGGAAATGTTTAGAGGAAACAAATTTAATAAAATGGCAAAGAAAATTTTGTTTCGTAACCGTTCATGCTGAACAAATACAGCCAATCTTAGATTATGCAGCAAGGAATGGATTAAATATTGATAATGAAGAAAATTTTTACTTCTATTTACCGATTGAAGCTGCATTAAATTTCAAGATAGCGATTCCTGATGAAGTTAATTTAGTTCAATTAGAACCCATTGATGCTCAACTTTGCAATCAGCTATGGAAATATAAAAATGAAAATTCAGAACTTTGGATCAAATCATTAATTCAAGTGCATGGTGGATATGCCTTTAGAGACAAGTCCACTAACGAATTGTTGTCTTTTGCAATCATCAATGATCATTTAGCCATTGGAGTTTTAGTAACAATTGAAAAGGCTCAACGTAAAGGCTATGGAGAGATGATTGTAAAATATCTTGCAAAAAAATTGGCTGAGAGTGATTTAGTTCCACATGTTTATATTAATAAGGAGAATGTGAGAGGACTTAAATTGTTTTATAAACTTGGATTCATTAAGATTGGAGATTCTAATTGGATTACAATTTTGTAAATCGAGAAACAACAAAGTTTAAAAAATCAGAAAAGCTTAATTCGTTGCAAAGGTAGACACTTAAAAATGAAAAAAATAAAATCACAATCGCTTAGCCAGTCAAGTGTTTTTAATTTCTTATCAGCAATTTTTACAGGTGCTGCAGACGTGCGATAAGCAGAATAATATGTTTTTTAAACCAAGGTCAACACTTCTCTAATAATTCTATATCCAAACTTTAATGCAAATAAACATGATCTACCTCAAAAAGTTTCAATTTAAACTTTGATAACAACACTGCAACTTGTTATTGTCAATTTTGATATCATTTTTATGAACTTATGTCTGTGCACTGATAATATTCATTAGCTGATTATTTATGAATCATATGGAATCAGTTTTGAAAACACTTAACACGCATGACGTGTCACAAATGAAATTAAGTTCAAGCTTTGTTTGTAAAATGAGTCAGTCATAATAAATTAAATAAAACAAAACTTCTGAGTTTAAAAAAATGTGAGCCGTAGCTTTAGTCTGAACAATTGTAAGTAAGTTAGCTTGAGGCTGATGATTAGTTGGATTTGAGTGCTTTTCCACTACTCCATCTAGACATTTTGGCTTGTTTGAACTTCGCGACATACAAATTGCAACCTTGAATATTGTATTAGGACACAACTGGTCATGCAACAGTACCATACTTGACTCAAATGTTAAAGAGCTTATTACTGTTCATCTAATTATTGTTATAGATTCTCACTATTCACAAGAGACATTGAACTTAAGTATAATTCTAAAGAACTCTCTTTAACACAATGATTGCCTTTCTGTAATCTCCTAGCTTTATATATTCGCATTTATTTCATGATTAATTTAATTTTCCTTTAATTTCATTAATTTTAGAGTTTTAAATAAACATGCATTATTGCACCTTACATGAGAAAACCAGCAAAATTTTGGTGACATTATCACGTTATAAACTGTCAAATAGGACACAAGATAAAACTATTAAACTTAAGAAGAAATCCAAGGAATGTGTGACAAAGAAGCTACATTCAAAATGGACCGATCATATGGATGTTGTAAAAATCGATCATCTTTGTGGATCTTGATGTTAAATTTATTCCTGTTACTATCATTTGTACATAATAGCATTGAAAATGAAGAGACATCCACATTGAGTGGTTGCATAGTAACTCCATTTATTCATTCAAATCGTTTTGATGATTTTTCCGTTGGAAGTAGCAATTATTATGATAATAAAGTAATAAATTGCACGAATGTAGACGTTACGGATATTAATCAGATTTATTTCACCGTTCCTGATAAATCCAAGACAGCATATAAGCAAATAATTATGAGAAATATTCGAACATCAAATGAAAATTACCTCAACGTGACTAATGAGCAACAGACTGAATTATTATCGTATATCGATAGTGAATTGACGGATGGGCAGCTAAAGTCAATCTTCCATAAGAAGAATTACAGTCGACTTAAGTATGTTGATATCAGTGGCAATCGAATAGAGTCATTTGACTTTTCAACTATCTATCGTCTTCGTGAGTTGAATCTAGCGAGAAATTCCATCCGTCATCTTAATGGAAATGCGTTTCAGGGCTTACAGGATTTGAGACAGTTAGATCTGAGTAGTAATAAAATTACAGATTTAAGCAAATCATCAGATGTATTTAATAATCTATCGCAATTGACTGTTTTGGATTTATCAAATAACACAATTAATGATATACCGAGACACATATTTTATGCACTAGGAAATTTAATTCAATTAAATATGGCAAATAATAAATTATTTGTGTTGCCTTATCAAGCATTCGAGAGTATGATGTCCGTTGAGATAATTGATTTATCAAATAATCTACTCGTATCGTTCTTGGACAACTTCTTCATTCACAATTTTAATCTTAAAGTCTTGCACTTACAAAATAATCGATTGCATGGAATCAATAAGAATTCGTTGTATGGCCTCAAAGAGCTTCATACACTCGACTTGTCTAATAATAAGATCATTCACATCGATAGAAATGCATTTGATACACTTGATGGTCTTAAGTATTTGAACTTATCGAATAATGGAATCGAGGAATTATCTCACATTGTCTTTTTGCAACTAAAGCAATTGAAGACAATTGACTTGAGCTTTAATCATCTCTACAATCTTCCATTAGGCATTTTTGCTAATCAACATCAGCTTATTGAGATCTTTATGGATAATACAAAGATTCAAAAGCTCAGTAATTGGATAAGTCGTACAAATTCAAATGTCACAGTCAGCAAAGAAGTCCTTAAGAATCTAAAATATTTATCACTACGCAATAGCACAAACCTTAAGAGTGTCGAGTCATGCTTCTTCTATAATCTACCAAGTGTCGAGAAACTTTACATCACAAACAGTCAAGTGACATTCCTACCCAAGGGAATCGGTGAAATGAATCAACTTGTTGAACTTGATGTGTCAAATAATCGTTTAGAATTCATACCGAATGGGATTCAGCATTTAGTCAACCTTAAAATTCTTAACCTGCTGAACAATGACTTATTGTGTGATTGTCATATGGTTTGGATGCTTTCGTGGATTAATGAACTACAAGCTAAGAATAAAACACTTCCATATGACTTACTACGATTATCGGAACTTAAATGTCGTAATGGATATCCTGGTAAGTAATTATTTCAAACTTATAACAATGTTTAATACTCTTGAGTATGTAAACTCAGTTAATAATGAAGCTATTTTCATGATAGGAACTTACCATAGAGTCCAAAAGATTTAATCATTAGCTATTTTCAACATTTATCACTTCCTTAATTCACAGAATACTTTCAGAAGAATTAAAACTCTTAAAAATATACATTTTTTCACATTATCGTCTAATCTAATCAAAAAAATCTCTATTATTACTATGATTTAAAATCTCATATTCATTCTATCAACTTTAAAAGAATTGTTTTCTCACAGTATCAATCGCTTAATGTTGTATTTAATTGTTCACAAATTTTTTGTTTACATCCTTATCAAAAGATGCAGCCAACTTCACTTTGAACTTTTCAAAATAATTCAAAGTTCAAAAAACCGTTAATATATATTTATTTCTATCCAATTGAGCTGACTTTGATTAAAACGTATTCTTTATCCTTAGGTGATATTCTTCGAATCTTAAAGCACATAAATTGCGTTGCACCATTCCTAATATCATCAACACCAGATCAAGAATACCAAATATTTACCGATGCTATTCTCGAGTGCAGTTTTGCAGGTGCACCTGGACCTGAGATAGTCTGGAGAACACCAAAAGGAATAATTTTAAGGCACAATGACAACTATGAAATTGATCCAACAGCAAAATTCCAACTGGATCAACATCATCGCTCGGTACTTAAAGAGACAATCGAGAATGCGAGAAATCAGCAAAATTCTGACACGGAAAATAAACATGAAAGCATTGACACGAGAATTTGGCAAGGTCCGGGTATTACTTTACTAGAAAATGGATTCTTAAAAGTACACAACGTATCGAGACATGATACAGGCTTGTATTCGTGTTTTGCAGTAAATATCATGGGAAATGCTACAAAAGATGTCAGGTGAGTTGCACGTGTGCTGTCCTTGTAGTCCGATAAATGTTTAAAAATAGCTGAGTTGTTGGTAGAAAGTAAAGGAATAGAAAATTTCATTATATGCATATTCGTTAAAAGGAAAAAGTGCCAACAGCGCTAATGGCAATCGAGACAATAGAAATGCAGAAAATCAATGACAAACTTGTAAACAGAACTGAATGATTTTGTATTGTTCGAACTCATCCATAGCAAGTTTCAACACTCATGTCTTTTATAATTTGTATACATTGCGTCACATTTAATAATTAAAGCTGAAAAGTCTGTTAAATGACATCGGTTCAATGATTCTCGACAATGTTTGTCATTGTTGTTGATGATGATATTCAGGCTTTAGTGCTTTAAAGACTTTATGGATTTATTAAAATGGTTTTTGTTGCCAAGTGAATGATTGAGTTTAAGATTTAGCACTGGCGTAACAAGGGGAGACGGAAGACAATAGTGGTCTCAAAGACACAAAGACCCTAATGCCACTTCTAGGTTAAGACCTTGGGAACTAGATTAACTCAAAAAAATATATTTTAAGGTTAACATTCGATTTAGACATCTAAAGATTAATATTTTGATTTTTCGGGGTTTTAAACAATTTCTAAACAAGTTTATAGAACACCTTACTCAGTCACCAAGCACTATTCCTTCATTTTTCATCAAAACACAATAAAATCGACCTCAACCAACAGAAATCTCATTCATAATTCAAAAATTTTCTCTCCCATTATAGACTCCTTATCGACCCAATCATCTTTTATCGCGTAAAAATTGGCGGTTTAGTGACAGGAGCAATTTGTGCACTTGGTTTCTTAATACTCACGTTATTATTCCAACTGATAAGGAAAATCTTTATTCGATTCCGAATAATTGATCTAATTTGCATGAATTGTTGCTCGTATTGTTATAAAAGTGATAAAACAAAGACGAAAGCGCGACAAGTTTATGCAATGTTGGATTCAATTGAGCATTACAAGAGTCAACAGTTGGAAAGATTGCGTGAGAATTATGCTCAACAGGTAAGAAAGACCTTATTTTGATAAGAAAGAAAAGGAAAAAAAAATATTTTTTTTTGGTTATTAAAAGCTTTTTCTTATTTTACCAAAAAGGAGATGGGCAAGGTTTTTGATTAGGTTGGGAAATTTTGAAAAAATTCATAAATTCAAAAATTAAAAATAAAAATTTCAAAAAATCAGAAATTCAAAAAATCAAAAAACCATAAAATTAAAAAATCAAAAAATCAAAAAATCAAAAAATCAAAAAATCAAAAAAATCAAAAAATCAAAAAATCAAAAAATAAAAAAAATCAAAAAATCAAAAAATCACAAAATCAAAAAAATCAAAAAATCAAAAAATCAAAAAATCAAAAAATCAAAAATTCAAAAAATCAAAAAATCAAAAGAATTTAAAATTTTCCCATCTAATCAAAAATATTCCCCCTCAACCCCCTTTTCCTCCTCCTTAAACCAAAAACAGCAACAAAGTATCACACCACACAAACCCATAATCATAACTATAAACCTTCTTTTCTTTTCATATTTATTTTATTTACTACACAAAAACAAAATTAAGGTTCATCGTATTAAAGAAAATTGTACACAGCAATGTGACTGGATTCAAAATAGCTATTCATCACAAACAAAAAATTTACGTGATATTCGCGATATTGGAAGTCATCACATATCTGCAATGCGTGAACAGTACACAGATCAGGTATGATTTTACTTTATTAAGATTAAGATGATTTTTATTATGAATCCAAAAAGTCAAGCTATTACTGTGATAATTTGAGTTCTAACAAGGGAAAGACGTATTTTATCGATCTTATACATGGTCAAGTGAGTCCAGGCTTTTTTATCCGTGAAAATAATCTGAATACTTCCTGTCTATGTACAGAAAAAACACATATGCTAATATAGAACAAAGCATTGACATTTCTTTGAGTCTACAAACCACAATCAGTACTGTCAGGCAAATACGCCCATAATCCTCAATCACAATGACATGCAGCTATTGTGGTTTGATGCTTTAGACTTCATTAAACAGAGAATTAACACAATCCTTCAATTTAAAAGCACTCCTAAGCCACAAGCTAGACCACAAGCATACATGCGATAGCATTATGGTCATTGTGTCTTGGATTGTGTTTAAAACCACAAGTGTGGTTAACATGGGAGAAGCCATAACTCTTTTGAGTGATTATTCTGGACGAACTTGTGTGTTTTATTCATAAATAATTGAAAGCAATTCAAAAGGATTGATGATCTAACGAAATTGGGGTTGGTGGTCAATAATTCTGTCAAACTGGGTTCGAATCCTTACAAACTCGATCAAATTAATCTTGGCTTCATATCTTCAAACTTACCGCAATTGAATTAAAACTAAAATGCGAATTCATTCATCATTTTAGGTCAAACGAGTCCGTGAATATTCAACAGGTCAGCTGAATTGGGTCCGAGAAAATTATGTTTTCCAGCGCAATAAAATCCGTAAATTTAGTGCTCATCAAGTCTTGAGACTCAGAGAAGGTTACAAGTACCAGCAACAAACACTCAACAAAGTCCTCGAAAATCTTCCAAGTTTCTACTTTGAAAATTGTCGTGGACGTGCTGAGGACGAGGTTAATGTGACGGATGAAGGTAATTTTATGCTTGAGTTTTAAGTTTTTTTGGTTTTTCATAATTTTATTATCAGTTAACCTTAGTTCAAGTGGATGGCATTCAAGTGCAACAGATTCAAGACATTAAATTTTTAATAATTATCATAGCTTAATAATCAATTCAAATTCTTATGGACATTCATAACAAATAATTAGCACTTTAATTAAAAAGTAATTTCAATTAATATTTTTCACTGGAGTGTGTTGACTTTTGGGATCATTTCATTGTTCACAATATGAGTTTTGGTCCAAAAATTTGGGAAAACAATACAGAAACAATTTTTTGGAAGGGAAAACACTTACTTGATTTGTCAAAAACCTTAAAAAGCTAACAAATTATTTCATTATTTTTTGGTGGGTTTATCATTTGTGTTTTTGATCAACTATCGATAAATACTCAAGTGACTCAAAAGTTATTAAGCTAGTTATTGGCATATGCTAAAGGTTTATGGTTACAAAATTTATCCCTCCTATAAGCTATGCCACTGACTACAGCTGACATGACAATATCATTCATTTCTTTGTTTCATTATAAACTTCTGGTCAATGAACACCTCAAAATACATCAAACAAAGTTCACACAACATTTCAGAACATTGAACTTGTGTATCATCATCCAATAATGACGAAATTCATAAAAACCTTTCATTTTTACAATCTCAAAGGATCCATAAATCATAATTTACTTAATGTTTGCAAATTTTATAACTCAATCCTCATCAAGACTAATTTATTCAACATTTTGAGTCACTTCGCTTTTGACATACTCCAAAATAAATTACAATCTAATTTTCTTTTCATTTTATTTTTAAGCCTTTGAAGTCTACCTTAAATCAAAAATAGAAAAGCTTGCAAAGCTTGACACACAAAATCTCGATTTAAAATCTCCTGACTATCACGAGCACTTCAGTGCTAAATCAATTGACGAAAGTAAAGCTTCAGTCTATTTTACACCAAATGATGGACATCTATCTCCACAGCCATCTGAATTGTCGCCAATACATGTTAATTACATCAATGATCACATGCTAAATGAGGCAGCTGGTGGGTTTGATGGAGGTCCATGGCGTTCAATAGCAATTCGAAATTCTTCAAGATCACATCACAATCCAGGACAGAGAAAGAGTTTTCAATTGCCTGCCGATTATCTAGACGAGAATGATGAATCAATGGGAAATTTCATCGTTCCTGATCCAGTATATGCTGATGAGCCCAAATTCCAGGATGTTATTGAGGAATCACTTGAAAATGGGTCGATTCCATCGCTAAACCATTCTTCAGTTGGACGACATAGTTCTAGGAGGAGAAAGAGAAAGTATGACAAAGAGAAAAGCTTCTCGATGATCTCCGTTGAGAATGAGGCTTTCCTTATGCAGGACATGACTGACTTCTCGAAGGGAGCGAGACCAAAAATATGTGATCCACAAAAGTATAGAAAAGACTCAAAAGGTGAGTTTTCTGGGAGATTTAATAGCTTTTTGTGGTTGAGGCTTAATTTTGGCTGATTTTTGAATAATCCTGAATTTCAGCGTATTTATTGATCAGTCAGAATTTTATCGGACTTTTGAATATCTCAGATTCTTGACAGACTTTTGAATTAAGCCGAATTTTTAATAACTTTTGAATAAGTCAGGAGTTTGACAGATTTTTATAAAATCCAGAATTTTGCCGGACATTTGAACAGACAGACTTTTGATTTAGTCAGAATTTTGACGGATTTTTATACAAACTTAAATTTTATCGGATTATAATTTAAATTAAACTTTAGACGGACCTCCTCAAAGATATTTAAAAATTCCATCAACAATAAAGATTTAATAGTCAACTTTCATTTGAATTCCATTTTAGACATTGTAGTCGACACCCACACAATAAAAAAGGTCAATTCTCAAGTGAATCTTGACGAAAAAACAGGAAAGGTTGTCTCAACACCGACCAGTGATGATTGTGATTTAGTATCTAATATAAATGGCAGCGATAAATTTATCTCACCAAAACTATTAAAATTACAAGCTAGTAGCAGTTTACCTGACCTCCCCGGGACAGATCAGCACGCAACAAATGCATCGTCGACAACAACATTATCATCAAATATTAATAATCAAAGTCAAATGTCGAGCGTTGGACATGGAAAATTAGTTGTACTCGCATTAGAAAAAGAGAATATTAATCAAATTGATGGTGCTGATATTGATAATCAAACAGCAAAAGCGAAAATTAAACTCAACATTGATCCGACATCTTCATCATCTGCTTCTTCTGTGAATCTTGATTTTAATGGTGATTTAATTGTCACAGATATCAGTACATTATAATTAGCGAATAAGTGTCAAGTAGATGGAAATTAATGAGTGGAGAAACTTCCAATTAATATGGGTTGTGGAAGTAATTTAAAAAAAATAATAATTGAAGTAAATTTATGCAAATATGGTGTACAGCATGAATAATAATAAATATATAGTTTCAAAGGTCATTTTTGAGTGATGAGGGGTGCAAATGTGAAGGTTTGATTGGTATTAGGGAGTCCTAGATGTGCATTACTGTTTGGAATATGATTAAGGACTTTTTATGATCGGTTTTTGGGTATTCCTTGTTCATACTCTTTAGTATGGTTAGGGTTCATCCCAGCTATTGTACCATAATGCCTTCATATCACCTCATCACTCGTAACTCAACATTTTATCATAATTACACATAAAATAAAGATTTTATTGCAAAAAAAGTTTTAATTTTTAATAAAATGATCAATAAAGTTACTCTATTTATGATAAATCCAAAAAGAATGTTAAATTGGATATAAATATTTTTGAAATTCTTATGAATTCAATCTTATTGGAACTATATTATGGACATAAAGATAGAATTCAATTATTTTTCTATCTTTAAATTTTATCAAATTAAATTTCAAAATTGACCACTTTTTTTGTTTACAAATTCGATTAAAGAGATTTTAAAGACGATCGATTTGTAAATATGATGTAAAATTTGAGGGTTAAATTGTTTGTTGAAAGTGAAATTAAAGTTTGAGAATCATTTTTCATTAGACTTGATTTCAATTTATCAACAATACCCAAACCCTGAAGAGGATTTTGTCAGTAGTAAGTCAAACTTAGGACACAGTTTTATGGAGAAAACTTAACAAATTTCAAAATAAATGTAATAAAATTTTAAAAAACAATATCCCTTAAAAAATAACAAAGAAAATATATTTTAAAAAACACTGCTGTTGTTTGCTTCATAGAAACAGTCCTAAGGCTGGAAACTCCATTGATTAATCTTCACTATATTTAGCAATATTTTAATGTCACTTAAGTCGTTAAACAATTTTTCTTGTGTGTTTTAAAAATGAGAAAGAAATTTTAGTGATAGAAAGTTCAATTCAGCAAGATTTAATGTAAATTTAAGTTTCAAATAAATGAGATTGTAATTAAAATTGGGTGTCAAATGTCTGAAAAAATCGGAAGAGAAAAAAAAATTATAAAATTTTGAATTTTTTTTTTCATATTTTTAATAGTTTTAGAATTTTTTCCGTAGTTTAAAATTTAAAAAGTTCAGTCCAAAATTCTTAAATAACTTTTAGAAATTATTAATATTAAATTTCATGAGTATAAATACCCAAAAAACATTTTATAAGTTGTGACTATTCATTAAAATAGAAATTAATTTTTTTATAAAATTATTTAAGTTCTTAAATTTTTCAAATTTCTGTTTTTCACATTTATTGATCATATTTGAATAATAATAAATGACAATTTCATGTCAGCATCTCAATGGTAATCTTACCTGCCCTAATTAGGCTTACTCGATTCAGAGTCTGCAACTAGAAATCCGGGGTCCGGCAATTCATCAAGAACAGAAAATCGAGTAAGCCTAGCCCTAATATACACGGCACCACACACAATTCTAATTCCTGTTTTTTGTGACAATTCTTTTAGTTTAGTTTTAAATACACAGTTTTGCTCATTATTATCATTGTAGCATGAATATATGAATAAATGTTGAATTGAAAAAATTAATAAAGAAATGGAAATCTAGAAAGTGAAAAGTCATTAAGATTTTTTCTGTATTTTAAAACATGAGAAAAATTATATTTCAAATAGGGTAAACCATGTTGAAATTTGTGTGTTTTTGCACATGAAGATTTGATTTGCAAGTAACTTGTTAATGGTTGATTATAAAAATTTGCTAATGGGCTCAAAAGATCAGAAATTGTGGGAATTTTCAGTTATTAAAACTTTTTGAGGGTTATGCAGGCTATGAGAAGAGATATTTGACATTTTCGATCAAATGTTGAAATTTGTGCGGAATATTTTAAAATTTGTGTGAAAAAATGTTGAAATTTGTGCACTTTTTTGATAACAATCTTTGACTTATTTTCAATTTTTAAATGTAAACAAACATATTGTTTATTATTTATTAGAGCTTAATTCGCGATTTTTCGGAAGAAGAACCTCTGAATTAGCTTTAAGCAACATCAGAAGTATACAACCGGCTTTTTCAAACTTATTTCTTCAAATAAATGCGAGACTAAAGATTCAAATAATAATGGATTGTAAAAAATCCATAAAGTAGGGACGTCCTGCAATTTTTTTTTCTTAACTTTATTTAGCATAGATTGATTGAAAAGATATCATAAATTCATAATAAATTAAAAGAACATGCATCATGAAAATTAAGAAATTGTTTTGTTTTTATTTGAAGGTCTTTAATTAAGCTAAAAAGAGGATATGCTTCTTTAATGATTCTGGCAAATTTTAAGAAAAAATTTAAAGTTATTAATTTCTGCAATTCCATTCATGTTATTCAATAAAACCTTTAAAAACATGAATTTCATCCATAAATATTGTTTATTGTTGACAAAATTTTTCATTGCTTTCTTTGATAAAAAGCGCACAAATTTCATCATTCATCAAAAAATTCCGCACAAATTTCAACATTTGTGAACAAGAAATTTTAAGATCGATTTTTAAAGCACTTCCAGTGACTATTTTGACCTGAAACTTTTTGAAACTATAAAGCTTTAAACAAATTTGAATTTTCAATTCTAATGTGTGTATGATAAGCACTGGTTATGTGCAAATAATTAACAAAATGAATATTACAATCATGCTACGGACATTTCAGTGTCGAACTTTTTCGACATGTTTAAATTTAGTCGACCTAGCGTTTGAATATTTTAAAACCGTTAAAAATCTGTCAATTTAAAGATTTTAAGCATTAATTTTTAAATTCCTGTATTTTTCTGGGATGATTTTAGATTAACTTAGCTAAACACGAAGCTGAGAATAAGAATCATTTGCCCAAGCCTTGTTTTTGCCAGTGTTTGTAAGAAAAATTCATGAAAATTTAACGGTTTTTTGAAATTCAAAGCAAAAAATAACGGACTTTTCGACGTGTCCGTAGCATGATTACAATTTTGTATGGGATTTCGAATTTTTTTAAATTTAAAGCAGCTGTAAGGTTCAAGAATTTTCAAATGATGTGGAAATATTTGAAGAATAGTTTTACACCGAATTGCAAATAAATATTTGGTAATAATGGCTTATTAGTGATGATTTACGTTTTATACGAGAGCACAAATTTCAACATTGCACAAATTTCAACATGGTTTACCCTAAAGAGAAAAAAATTCTTGGCAAAAATCTTAAAAAAATTGTTTTAATTTTGAAGTTTGAGATTTTTGTGGATTAAATATTTGATGTAGATCCTCTTAGTTTTATCTTGGTTCAGAGCTCTTTAACTCCTTGGCTTCATTCTTAAGCAATGGGTATTATAAAGGACATAATACAAACATGTTGAAGTTACTGTAACCCAGCGACATTGTCTTACAGCTCGACATATGCATTTCAATTCAACCAACAGTAACTTAGTTCCTGCAAGCTATCATCATCTACATCACTCGCCCACTCAGCCGAAAAATCCTGATGCACGAAAATTTCCATTCAACACAACAGCTCAATTTCCTATCCATTTCATCAAACTTTTTCTTGACTTTTTGTATCGTGCTTAAATTCATTTCTGTCTCAAAATTGCTCCTACGTCAATGTCTCTATTTTTTTGATAGCAAATAAAAGTTCGAAGACCTTTGCGTGTGCCACAATTTTATTTGAGATATTATTTGTATAAAAAGCTGTAAATTGGATTACATTGTTGTGTTTTCGGATGTTTTGAATAATTTGTTGCACCTGTTGAGGAAGGTTGATGGCTGTAAGTCAGTAGTGATGAAAAATTGCTAGATTTAATATATTTTCTGCCTTTGGGTAGCTGCATACCCTCTTAATCAGTCCTTCCATAACTCTCCTGACGTTCAACCATACAACAGAACTTAAAATCATCTCTGATAACTTCAAAAAGTTCATTGCTTTTACCATTAAACGACCAAAACATACTCAAGATAATTAACTTAGCCACCAGCAAATAAAGTTATTACTTTTACAGCCCAGCAATAAATAAGTCAAAAAAAGAAAGATTTACACAAACCGAGCCTTCTTTTTCATCACCAGAAACACCGAAATTTCATTTTCAGTCCTTGGCAGTTGAATGAACTTTCGGATGTTACAAGGATGTATTAAAGTTCTCTTACACATTAAAGCCGCTTTTCTCTTCTCTGTTCTCAGTGCTCAGCCTATCGAGTGGAAATTTTTTTCCTTTCATCGTTCATCGACCTTTGCATGTCCTTTTGCCGTTCTCTCGAATATTTAATTTTTTTTTGAGTATGCATGCACACATTAGAATTCTTTTTATTTCACATTTGAGTATTAAAAATTTTGAGAGGCTGATGGAAGTTGAATTTTATTTGTGGCATGGGAAATTTAAAGGGAAATGATCTGATAATTGGTTTTGATGGGTTTTGGTTCTTGATTTTGAGATGTTAGGGAAGTAGTTGGAACTACTTGAAACAAGCTAACCTAATCGCTTATGAAGACAGGCAGATTTCAGCTTTTTACTTCCAACCCGAAAAGCACAAGTCGGATTATCAAATAGAAATCCGGCCCCAAGCTGGCATGGTGCTGGATTTGGTTTGAGTTCAGCACCATGTGAGAGTCAGGCAAGCTTGATTTCGGATTTCTATTTGATTAACTGACTTGTGTTATTTGGTTAATAAACACGAGTTTGAGAATTGCAAGATTCGAACCTATGACATTAATCTATAACAAATTACTATATAAAATCTTAGCCAAATGCCTTCCTAATTACTGCAATGAGGCACTAAACGGATTAATTTATATGCAAGCCAGACACACACTAGGTTAGCCATAAGTCCTTCTTAACATACAGCCTCGATTACCATCTTTAATTCTTAATTAGATGCAAC